AGCAGGATGATAGGCAAAAGATCATCCCTAAACTCCTTTCCCGAGCAATTCTCAGCGGCCACGGACATATTCTCCAGAACAACCATTAGTCCAGCCTCTTTACCTAGATCCCGTTCCGCGGAACGTTGGGTGAGGAAGACTTCGCGCAGTTTAGGACAGACCAGTGTCTCGAACGCTCGCTTTCCGGTGGGCATGACTTTAATCATAGCGAAGACGTTGCTCAGTACTGGAGCCAGGAGCTCGCGATCCTTTAGTTCTTCGAGTAAAGCTGGCAAGACTTTCTTCTCGAGAACAGATTTAGGAAACTGCGGGATGATCTTGGGCAGGCCTTTGAGGAATGCAGATTTCTCTTGCGCGGTTTTGGCTGGTAAAGCGTCCAGGAATCGTAAAGTGGAGACCAGGATGTTGGAGAAGAAACTCGCTTCCTGGAACTCTCGTGCGGAGAGTCTTTGCGCTGGTCTTCGGGTGATCAATCTGGGCAGTAATTCTGAGCTCAATTTTGGTGGTAGAGGGTGCGAGGACGGAACCAAGAAATTGTTAGATTGTGTCGGTACCGAAGAGGAAGAGGCGAAGATGCGTTTATAGCTGCTTGGACTCCCGCCTGTGCTTAATGGTGAAGTATGAGGCGAGTTGTACAACGCCACGATCAACAGGCCTAAGCTGAACATATCCGCCGCGCTCGTGAGGCTGTTGTCGAGAACAAAGTCCGGAGAGGTGTAGTCCAGATCCAATTGCACTGTTCGAGGCAGCCGCGGGTCGTGGTTTAGGACCTCGCTCAGACTGATGGCCGTCATGCTTGTCGCTGTCGTAGAGCCTTCATAGGGACCGCAGAAAGCTAGGCCGGAGATCTTCCAGTCGCCTTTCGCGTTGATCATGATGGCTTCAGGCGTCAGGTTCCCGTGAACTAGTCCGGCACTTTCGTGCAGGAACTCGAGACCTTTGCCTAATTGTAGAAGTCCTTTTTGGATTTCCAGCTCGTCGATCTCAAGTTCGCGCCTCTTGCGCGTGCCATCTGCTTCTTCAACCACGTACCGACTGCCCCCATTTCCACGTTCCTGGCCATCCTTCTCTCGTAACAGTGAAGCTAGACTAGCCGTCACAGCTTCTGTAGCGAACATTAACCCTCCATTTCTCGTCTCCTCTACCGGCTCCTGCAATTCCAAGATGGAAGGATGTCGTAGCCGAGCAAGACTACTAGCTTCTTTTCTCAACCTCTCCACCACCTCCTCATGCGCTCGTTTCAACGATGAGGCATTGGTGCGTCCCAAGCTGCCTCCCTGAGGAACAAGCGATTTCTGATCGAAGACGAAGACTGAGCATGCCTTCGACGTCTTCTTATGGCGCGCGTCAAAGATTTTCCATGGGCCTGCTGTGCTCGAAGGTTGGGCCGATAGGGTGTAGTTGGATGTGATGGGGCTGGAGAACGAGGACAGCGCCTTGCTGAACATGATTGAGTTATGGCATTGTTGGTGAGTTGAGGTTGATCTATGTTCACATGCTCGACGTTCACATGTCAGCCTCGATATTTAAACAGCAGTCAAGGGTGTGGTGTTTAGCAACATACTCATATCCAAGCCGAAGACGGAGGTCTGACTTTGGGTCTGACTCTACACAGCAACAACACTCGCTTCATACTTCCCAACCATGGCGACCCTTCGCCTCCTCCCTCGCTCCACCACCCGTGCCATTCTCCGCCCTCAATGTCTCCTCCGCCGCCCAAACTCGACACTATCCGCTCCGGATGCCTCAAATCCCAAACTCCAGCAAATAGACCCGTCACTTTTGACCATCACGAAAACCACGACTCCAAAAGAACTAATACCACACGATAAGCTCATCTTCGGCCGTCATTTCAGCGATCACATGCAAGTACTTCCAGGGTAGTCAATCGGGACCTGAAACATGTATTGACACCCCTACCCATCACTTTTACAGGCTCTCCTTAGAATGGACTTCTACCCACGGCTGGCTAGCACCAAACATAACACCATATCAGAACCTCTCCCTAGACCCAGCAACATGCGTTTTACACTACGCCTTCGAAGCTTTCGAGGGCATGAAAGCATACAAAGACAAATCTGGCAATGTACGATTATTCCGTCCGGACAAGAACATGGCGCGCTTAAATAAGTCAGTGGCGCGCATAGCCCTCCCAACCTTCGACGGCCCATCCTTCATCGAACTCATAAAACAGTTCTGCCAACTCGACTCCCGCTTCATCCCTTCCGCGCGAGGCTACTCCTTGTACTTAAGACCAAACATGATCGGAACCCAACGAACGCTCGGCGTCGGTCCTCCCGGCAGCGCTTTACTGTACCTCATTGCTTCACCTGTAGGACCTTATTACCCTACTGGATTTAAAGCCATCTCCTTAGAAGCAACTACGTACGCGGTTAGAGCGTGGCCGGGAGGCGTAGGAGCGAGCAAGTTGGGAGCGAATTACGCGCCGTGTATTGTGCCGCAGATGCAGGCGGCTGCTCGAGGGTTCCAGCAGAATTTGTGGTTGTTTGAGGAGGTTGTTGATGGGAGGAAGGAAGAGTATGTTACGGAGGTTGGGACGATGAACTTGTTCGCTTGTATACGGGATAAGAAGACTGGGCAGCCTGAGCTGGTTACTGCGCCTTTGGATGGCACGATATTGGAAGGTGTCGTGCGCGACAGCATCCTGTCTCTCGCACGAGAACGATTGGTCCCTGAAGGGTGGAAGGTGAATGAACGACGTTTCCATATGCGCGAGGTCTGCGAGGCGGCGGAGGAGGGTAGGTTGATGGAGGTGTTCGGGTCTGGCACAGCGGCTGTTGTGAGTCCGGTCAGGAGTATTGGATACAACGGAGGCCTGATATCCTGTGGGTTGCCGGAGGACAAGGAGGCAGGGCCTGTGACTCAGCGCATGAAGGATTGGATTGAGGGGATACAGTATGGAGAGGAGGAGGGGCATCCTTGGAGCTGGAAGATATGAGGACACTTGATGGTTTGAGCAGGAAGGTTCGGGAATCATGTTAAAGAAGCGAGCGTTTCGCACAACTGTGCATACGGATGCCGCGAGTGTTGATGGGAGGCGCCGGCGACGCTATTGCTGTTGTTCTGGCGAAGGCGTTGGGGTGTGTGAAGTGGATCACGGTTTGTATACACCGGCATTGCACTTACGGCGAAGCATGCATGTATGAGAGGCTGCGTTGCTTGTTGCCGCGAGCGATGTGTATGGAACGATATGGTGGTTCTGAAAGTCTTCATGGCGACTGAGGTGAAGAGCGAGGAGCTGTTGTACATAGCAAGGCTGAGGCGCAAATTACACGGTACATTGAATGCTCATTAGAGAGCGAGAAGTTCGAAGCAGCTTTTGGTCGGTTGGAAAAGATTACTCATATGCTGGGCGTTGTGCGAAGAGCCACGCACGTGAATGGCATACTGTCGCTTTGAGTGAGAACAGGCACTCATGGCATAACACAGCATAGCAATTGTGCAGCAGCAGTCCTGCACTCCGGCCCCATCCTCATAGAATACACCCCAATAACTCCATGCTCAGCTCGTCAAAGAAACGCTCAATCGCTCATCATCCACAGCTCCCTTCTTTCCTTCCCGCGCATTGCCCCAATGCCATGCCTTGATCGCGAGAGCAGTGCATATTGTACTCATGCTCAGCGGAAGCAGTTCAACTTCCCCAAGGTGAATCTGAACGGATTCCGCCTCACTCCATGCCTATCCACAGTCACGCCTCCGCCGGCATGCTTGCCACCCCAGTTCTTGGTCCAGAGCAGAGGCATAGTCGCTGTTGGTGTGGTTGTGTTTGCGCGTGGATTTGGTGTGGAGTTTTGATGGTTGCTATGCGCCCCTTATTATCAGTATTCACGCGTAGCTCATATTGATGGAAGCTTACATACAGTTCTGTTTGATGTGGTTCTGATGTGCAGTTTCAAGGTGGATGTAGTGGAGCAAAGTATTCAGCAAACTTCGCTGTCGTTATCCTTATATTCCACATGGCTGTCACGATCTCCTGTCCAAGAATCGCCAAGTTGGTCCTGCCCAGCTTGGCGGTGCGACAGTGCATGTCAACAGTGGCGTTCTTCCGTCATAGCTGTGGCGGTGCAGCGCCAATGTCCGAATGAGGAAGACTTCACATCAGCTCGACCTTACAGCATCATCTGTACCAACACACGAGAGATTGTAGCCGAGTGGTCTACGGGGTCAGCTTTCCATCGGACAAACTCTGCGCCTGGAGAGAAGTGCTTACCACCCGGGACCAGATAACATGCAAGTCGGCATAACAGCGGCCAGCACTCGTCGCTCTATATAATAGCTGGTAAGCATTACTCGAATATGTTGTTAGGAAGCGTGGTCTAATGGTAGGATACTGTGCGATGGATTCATTCGCTTGTGATCCATCTATCGCTTCGCACAGTGATGCTGGTTCGAGTCCAGTCGCGTCCAAATCAAAATACTTTTTGCTGATTTCGCGGGTTTGAGACGGATCACAAGAACCGCCTTTTGTATCTGCTGCACCTAGTTAAGATTTCTCTTCCGGATCGTAGGTGGCTGTTTCGAGAAGGTGCACTGTGAAGTCTGCGACAAGCTCAGTCATGGTCTTCGCACTTTAGTCGTAATGTAGTGTACACGCTTAGGGCCAAAGCACGGGGCCGCTACGGCATCAAGAGGATTCCGGTTTCAAGCAGCAGTGCTTCTAACAACGTTGCTGCGAATGTGTACGGAGATCTCAACGCGTGTTGATGATTATCGGGACATCCTTGGTATCACGCAAGGGAAATATCGCATCAGTGTAGCAGAGGAATGGGAAGTTGGCCTGAGCGATAGTTCTGCTGAGAGCGGCAAACCTTTCTTAGGGTCATTGAACATGAAGGGTGTGATGGGTGCTTCAATATGTTAAATATAAAGACCATGAAACACCAACCAGACCATCATTCGGCGATGAGGTGAGAGTCAAAAGGGTTCACATACCAACGCTCTGCTTCCCAGATCTCGACTGTGTTAAATAGAACCAAAAGTGGATGAGACCGGACTCGAACCAGTATCACCGACCAGGTGCACAGCTAGGGTAACCCCCCTTCAAGTCTTCCGACTTGCCTTGTGCTTTTTCTAGGCCACCAGGGGACCTGCCAGTATCTTACCATTGGACCACTCACCCATACAAGAAGTCGTGGCGCTTCACTTGTTTTAACAGACGCAATTCCCGGCCGTTGTTGAGCCGGTCAGGGCATCTGAAAGCGAAATCCTGTCAAATACGGCAAGAGGACCACAGCTCCAAGACCATTGTCATTCGACTAGCAAATCTGCTTGACCATCCCATCCTCACACTGATACACCCATCCACTAACCATACCTCCCTTCACCACTCCTCCACACTCCTTCAACCACTTCACGTCCTCCCTCACCGATGCCTCCAAATCACTAAAAGGCTGGAAATCAAAGTCCGGCCCACAAACTTCGTGCCCTTGATGCCCGTTGACAATCTTCCGTCCTTGCTCGTTGGTAAAAGTAAGCATCCCACATTGCGTATGCTTGATCAACAAGATCTCGGTCGTGCCAAGCATGTGCTGGGATATCAGGATTGAGCGATAGGCATCTCGAGCATTACCACCAGCGTTACGGATTACGTGGGCGTCACCAAGTTCGATCCCGTAGGCCGCCATGGGAGGGATACGGGCGTCCATGCATGTTACTGGTACATGTAATCTTTGTTAGTAGAGGTAGATAAGTGCTGGTACGTGGTAGACGTACCAACGAGATATTTCTTGGCGGGCGGTATAGGCAGATGCCCACTGGTGAAGTGCTTGGCGTATTCTTTGTTCGAGGCTACCAAGTGCCCTTGGTTTTCGGTCAACATCTTGCGCATGATGGTCTACAGCTGGGCAGGGCCGTCGAATTATGAAGGCGGTAGGCAGGATGGTGTCAAGCTCGTGTAGCAATGGCGTGCTACGTAGCTTTGCTACTCTCAAGGACAGGCTTAATAGCCACAAAGAGCACGGAAGCGTGTGCGGCTGGTGCGGCAAGCAGAGAGCTTCGATGATCGATACGCTAATGCAGGTACGGCGCATAGCTCGAGTCCTACATCGGCCAGATCTGATCAGTATATCAACCACAAACTGCTCGTCTCTGATATCACGATTGCGGCTTCTTGTGCTCAGACTTGCCTTTCACAAGTCATCGATTGATCTTGACTTCGCCGCCCAACCACAGTACGGAAGACGTCGGGTTGGATCAATGAAAGCTCAAGATGCATCTCATGAGTATCTGAAACGAAGCACAAAGCTCCGTCTCTTCATCATTGCAGGGAGGTGAAGGGGAAGAAGAGATGAGCTTACCTTTCAGCTTTGAACATCACGCTTCAACCCACGATACTTGTGGTTCCCTTCGTCTTGCCTGTCTCCATCTTCGCTGTCCGCGCGCCAAACTGTATCTGCAGTATCATCAGCGTGATGTTTCTCTCATATCGAAAGGCGCACCCACCGCCCTCTTCTTCTCTTTGGCTACCAGCTTCATATCCAGCTTCCAAGCTAAACATCTCAACACCTTCTTTTCCGGCTCCAACAAATCGCTCCCATCTGCATCTTCTGCGCTCGCCTGAGGCTCGCCAAATCCGCACTTCTTATCGACCGAAGCAGCCATAGCCCAGGCCACAACATCCTCATCCAGAAATGGGAATCGAGCTTCTCGTGCCCAATTCGATATCACCCTGTCATCGCGACCCAAGTTTCGCTTACCGAGGCGGGACACATCGAGATCTAACTCGTCCAGCAGACCAGGGCAGCCTTTACGGTTGAAAGCAGTAGTGTGCCGCTGGTACCCTCCAAACAGCTCGTCGGCACCGAGACCAGACAGTAAGACCTTGGCATTCGTCGTCGTTGTGAAAGGCGGCGCATGATTATCCACTGTAGAGGACACTACACCCGTCCCTCTTGCAGCAAAGCAGAGTGCGGTCGCGATGCTCAGATCCATCTCGGTGTCGTGCGGGTACATGAGGTCCACGATTCGCTGTCTGTGAGCAAGAGTCTCAATGTACGGTATGTTGATCGCTATGAACACCCAATCTCGTTCCGGACACACTCGCATGAGCTCGGCATGGGAAGCTCGACCTGTGATGCGGTCAGGACACAGCTCGTAGGCGTCTGAGTCAGCTTTGTGTATTCGCGGGTTCTCGAAAGCAACGTTGAGCAAATCAATTTTCTTGTGCTCGGGGTAGCACTCGTGGGCCAGGCGAGCCAGGACAGTGCAGTCCAGGCCGCCAGAAAATAGGACAGCAAGATTTGAGTCGGCAATAGCGTCCTTCGACCCGGGTACATTCTCCAACCGTCTTCGTAAGGACGATCTGAGCAAAACTTCAAGCTGGTTAACGGCAGACGATGCAGAATGCAAGCGAGTCTGCGAAGACGGAAAATCCTTGTTCAAAGAAAGCCGAGGGACCACCTACCTTGACATGAGCTTAGGCCATCGCAGCAGTGCGAGATCGACGTACACGTGTACCAATGTGAGTCGCAAGCTCCGCGAGGCGATACGGTACTTTCTGCACAGAACCATATACATCATCACAGCCATAGGGCGAGGCGAGGTCGACATAGTACAGCCCATCGGCTTCGACCTCGGTCCATGGGTGCTCGTCTCCGGGGCTCATTGGACCTGCCACGCTGCTGAGAAGGAGTTCGCCATCTCCAGCAGTCCGCCACAGTAACGAGCGTCTGCCCAAGAAGTCCCTGCCGAAGTAGAGCATGCCATTCGAAGGGTCGTAGAAGACGAATGCGTATGGTCCAGAGATTTGCGCCATTGCCTCGGCCACTAGTTCAGCCTGTTTGGCGGATATGAGTGTTCCATTGCTATGGCTGCTATGAGTACGAGTAACGACACCGTCAAGCAATTTCGCTACCGCCACGGTGTCGTTATCGAAGACTGGTCGCTCGCCAGCAATCTCCCATGCCTCGCCATTCCAGCATAGAGTCGCTCCAGTGGCCGTGCCGAAGGGCTGCTTGACAGCAGTATCGCCTCGAAGTGCTAATACGGTCGAGTGGACAGTAGTGTATACAGTCTGTGACTCTCCTGAGTGAGTCTCTCGCGATAATGTGAATTCGGTACTGCAGCTGCTGTCGGGTCCGCGGCGCTCGAGGAGCTGCTGTATCTCCTTGTTTGGGTGTATATGGTCGTGCGTGGTGACGGCGCACCAAATACCGCACATCGAAGAAGATGTTATTGTGCTCGTGCAGGACCCAGGTGGAAGGGGTCTCAGTCTTCAACATCCCTGCGTCGATCCGGCACGGCGGGATGCCGAAACGTGCCCGTGGCGCAGGTCATGCTGCCGACCCATGCTTTCATGGCCCGCACCTGCTGATGACCTCCAGGCTCGTATGAACAGCATTGTTAACTAACACACACGACGAAGTCTTCAAAGGCCTCTGCATTCGTCGAAATCCACCGCCGTGATCCCCCACCAACCCAGCAGCCACCACCGTAGCACAGACCTACCGTCCCCTGTCATCGACTCGTCACTACCATCGGAGTCGAATCCGTCGTACTTGCGCCTCGACTTGGGGCGTGAAGACATGGTAGTCAATGAAACAACGAGGAGACTGCTACGGCAGCTGAATAGCCGGTACATCTACGGGAGATATGTATGTGCACACTGCAGCAAGAGAAGCCTCGAAACACATGTGTCTTGGCTTGGACATGCGCTGACATGAGATACTTCCCTGCAGCCCCTACTCCACGCCATCGTCGCCCTGATACAGATCACCATGGTTTCCATCCTAGTGCGCAAGTTCAATGCCTACTATGCCAACCGCCCAGTCTTCACGACAATGGTCACCAACGCCGTGCTCTCCGGCATAGCAGACACCACAGCCCAAACCCTCACAGCCTTCCGACGGCGCTCAGCACAACGTTCACTGGCCGACCCTGAACTAGCAGCTCACAGGGATGACTTTTTCTCGATCGAAATCCAGGATCTGGACAAGAAGATTCCGTGGCCAGACCGTCTTCCACCTCCTCCGCCATTCGACTTCGAGCGCACAGTGCGCTTCATGTCGTACGCATTCATCATGGCACCTCTCCAACACCGATGGTTCGCATTTCTACACAAGACGTTCCCGTTCCCTGCAACGGGTCATGGTGCGACAGCAAACGCATTGAAGCGGGTGGCGTTTGATCAGCTACTCTTCGCGCCATGCGGCTTGGCGGCTTTCTTTACCTTCATGACCGTTGCAGAGGGAGGAGGACGGAGAGCAGTAGCAAGAAAGTTTCAAGATGTTTACATACCCGCGCTGAAGGCGAACTACGTCGTCTGGCCGGCCGTGCAGATATTGAATTTCCGGGTGATGCCAATACAATTTCAGATTGTGAGTTTATCGGCACTGCACTATGGCTTTCTGCTAACTTATTATTCAGCCGTTCGTCTCGACAATAGGGATAGCGTGGACGGCGTATCTATCATTAACCAACTCGGCCGAGGACGAGGCCATCGGAGGCTCGCCTTAGGCTGGCAGACACCGGGAGGGACATTGATTCAGTCTTGCGAAAACGGCCACGGTATGCATATGGATCGGCGTCTAAATGGCCCTATGACACGCTTGATGTGCACAGGATAGGCATTGCATGAGTTGCTTGCTTGGAGCGAGGCGTTGGGTAGGATGTGCATACTTGCTTTACTTACCTGCGTGAAGATACCCAGATGGTATACGATGCTTCATCTGTTCTTGAGTATGCGCTCAATGCTGTTCACAGCCAAACCAAATTAACAATTCCACCCATCTGGACGTGTCATCTGGAGGCGCCGAACATAAAACACCATACCAATGAAGCGCCGCATGGTTCAGTACGCGCTAACGTGCCAGAATGATCTATCACTGAATGTTCTTGCTGCCCAACAGATATTGGAGCAGCAGACCTGGACACACGAGCTCGTGGCGGACACACAATTGTGTCGAACTGCCGTCGTGTATCCGGCATCAGATGGGCTTCTGCGAGATCTGGATGCCTTCCAGGTTAAATGGCCATGCGGAGACGTCTAAGAAGTATTGTACCTGAGACGAGCGACCAAGGTGACTATATCTTGGATCTACCAACTCCGTGGAGGCGCAACCATAGCTCGTGGCGATTCAGAGGATTCAAGCATAGAATAGCTAAGCAGACCAACATAGACCG